GGAATGAATTATGTGAGTAAATTCTGATGATTTCCTATTTGTCACCAACTGATTTATATTAAAATCGCCGGCTATGACATATTTCTTTTTTTCATTACTGATTTTATCTATAATTATTTGAAGTTTCTCAACAAACGCCTCGATTTGTCCGTCAAATGGACGATATATAGAAACGACGACTAAGACAAGCTCTTTCAAGGTTATTTGAAGGGCTGCACATTCAAACATATATTTTGGGTATTCGAGGCATTATTGCTGATAAGCGAAATATGAGAATCGGCTAATTCTTGGCTATGCTGCAAAGTGAAGTCCGCCGAAATCAGTACATTACATACGTTGGTGGAGAAGTGAATTTTGAGAACTATCCAAAAATTTTAATTTTCCGGTGATTAAACTCATTTTCGTCCAAGGCATGTATACATATACTTTCTGACCGAAGTCAAAATTAGCGAATATACGACAGATATAGATCGATGCGAATACAAATTGCGTGATATGGTTTTTCGTAAAGTAGGTCCAAAGCGTCCATTACAACGGTTCCTTGCCAGTTGCCGTTAGAAGTAAAAGCGTCGAAAAAGCTCAAATCGTTGGTCTTACATTACAATCGACTTCAAGCAGCTGTGACATTATGCTCTCCGCCACAAATTCTCAGTGATGACGATGGATTGACTGATTCACTAAAAGACTATGCAAACTAGACTTAGCTCTGGTTCATATACCTAGTCAATCTACTTGAATAATTTTTGCCGTACAGAATCAGCACACCTGCATTTTAGAGTGCGAAAGCAATCTGCGGCCCTTCGAAGGTTTCGCACGGAATTCCCCACACGTGTTCCTCGACTAGCCACCGTCCGAGGCGTTAGGAAAATGTTTGCTTAGGAAAGTAACCGCGAAATCCCGAGGGAGAGCGTCGGTCCTCCCTGCCTTCCCGCTGCTCCCGGGCGCAATAAGCGACATCCCGCTCTGGATGGGGGTGTGAAAAGCAAACAGTCGCACGCGCTGGATGATATGCTAATCTTCCAGGCGATAATTGAAAATAAACCGGAAAACACGCGGGTCACTGCAGTCGAAAAGTCTAAACAGTGACGCCAACGACAGGATACTCTGTTCTAAGGGATTTCAGCGGACAAGCTTGTGAGTTTACTTCTATATCAGCATCTATGTTGATTTTCTAAGGCATTTGATAAAATCAGTCACAGTGTTCTGCTCCACAAACTTTTTTCTTTAGGCCTTCATAGTTCTTGCTTAAGGCTTCTAAAACCTTAAATGCATCAGATACGGCAATATGTTCACATTAATTCAACCACATCTGGTTACTATGTTTCTACTAGTGGAGTACCACACGGGTCCATTTGAGACCTCTATTATTTTTGTTATATGCTAATGACGTATGCACTTCACTGGAATGCAATAGATTAATGTTTGCGGACGATCTAAAAATGTATGCGTCCATTGCATGTCTAGAAGACTGTGCTGCCCTGCAATCGCAGATCGATGTTTTACATGACTGGTGTCTTAGAAATCATCTGCATTTAAATATCTCCAAAAGCACAATATTAACCTTTAGCCGACGTTCCACTATACTATATCCTCATACAATTAATGGTACAGACCTTTTGAGAACTGACTCAATCAGAGATATAGGCGTTTGCTTTGACAGTCAGTTAATCAACACACATATTAATCAAATTATAACGAATGCGTTTCGATCGTATGGCTTTATCATAAGAAACTGTAAGCTTTTTACTGATCTGTCGGCACTAACTTTATTGTATTCTATTCTAGTCAGGTCGAAATTAGAATACTGTTCACTAATATGGAACCCAATTTACAATATTTATAAAACATGTATCGAAAAGGTTCAAAAAATTTTTCTAAGGTACTTATCTTTCAAGCTTTATGGAGTGTATCCACAAAGAGGTAGTGATTATGTGATGCTTGTGAACATATTCAACTTTCAAACTTTAGAGAGCCGTAGAGGTCAGGCATCTGTTTTGTTTTTGCATAAACTACTAAATGGCAAAGTTGACTCTGTTGACCTGTTATCACAGCTAAATATCTTTGTACCGAGACTTAATGCTAGAGATCATTACACGTAAAAGAGCTCAAACTAATATATTAATGAAAGCACCTATTAATCAAATGTGTGCAAGCGCGAACAATCTGTCTGTGACATTTTCTGCTGCAGTTTTTCTGAAATAAGAACCCGGTGTCATGTCAATTTGTAGTTTCGCTAAAGTTTTAGGTAAATTTAGTACATTAATTGTTTTTTATTTCCCGTTGCTCTGTAAATGGTGTATACTTTTGGGCAATATATGCTTTATTATTATTATTATTCTGTATTTCACTCCTAGAGGAATTGATGAGCTTGACCGGAACTCTGCCTGAGTTCTAAGGTATTTAGTCGGAAAGGGTTTTCCGCAAGATGTGGGCTGTTCCTAGCAGAGCAATCTTTTGAATTTGTGTTGCAAAAACATCTCCGGGGAGTTCTTTTATGTTGTTCTTGAATGACATAGTGGCAGTCCCCAAAGCTCCGATGACCACGGGTACCGTTCTTGTCTTCCACATGCGCGATATTTCGATTTCGAGGTCTTTGTATTTTCTGGCCTTTTCCGCTTCTTTGGTGTTGACGTTGTTGTCGTCTGGTACAGATACCTCAATTAGCAGGCTTGTGTTCTGTGTTTTATTATGGCAAATAATATCAGGTCGGTTGGCGGAAATCGTACGGTCGGTAATGACTCCTTTGTCGTACATAATTGATGCTTCGTCTGTCTCTACTGCTGCTTCAGGAGAATGATCATACCAGTTGTTGCTAACTGGTACTTGGTGCTGCTTGAGGATAGCCCAGTGTATGTATTTAGCGACGTTGTTGTGCCTTTCGGTGTATCTGTTGGTGTCAGTGCTGAGCAGCCTGAAATAATGTGGCTTATATGTTCCTCACTTTGATGGCATATTCTGCATTTGCTGTCGACGTTCTGTTTCAGGACCACTCTTCTGTGGTAGCGCGTGTTAAGTGCCTGGTCCTGTGCAGCAATCAGTAGACTTTCAGTCTCCGCCTTCAATCCTGTACTTTTCATCCAATCCAGGAACATGTGTTTATCAAACATTGATTTTGTGTAGGTTATTGTAGAACTGTCCATGAAGTGGTTTCGATTTTAGGGCGTTGACTTTTTCTGTTCGCTGACTGATCTTCGTTGAATTGGTGTGCATATTGTCTTTTCATGGCGTACCCGATCTTTTTAATGGAGTATTTAGCCTTTCGTTGCTCATGCAATAGTACTAAGTTGATGAACTTGTCGTTGGAATGGAGTATATACTCATAAAGGCAGGCAATTGCCATCATGTAGGCACTGCAGAATTCAGTTATTATTATTATTATTATTATTATTTTTATCTATGAATACGTTCGATTAACATGAAAACAGCTGTTTCTTCGATGAGCTTATTAGAAGTCATTAATTATTCTTATCACAATTAAGTTGGCTAAAATTGCAGTAGCACGCTTCCATACCTTTCTTATCAAAAATCTAAACACGATTCTAGTATCAAAGGTTTGGGACATAGGGTGAGTAATCAAACAGAATCAGGGCAAGTTTTTGTTGAGTTTTTAATGTAATTTTTAGCTCATCTAACGAGTACTGGTCCTTGCTTAGCCTCATCTTTTAGTTTCTCATAGCGCATTCCATAAGAAGTCAACCGGCATTTGATGTACATATGGATTGAATAGAGCATGATTGGATCCAGTTTCCAAGCAGCAGTAATTTCGGCAATTTGTTGACTTCCAAATGTATGTAAAATGTATTTTATATGCTTTTCGGCACCCAAACAACAAGAAGTTACTACAACATTACGTTCCGATGCACTGCCGAACTGTACATCCAAGACAAAAGTTATCAACATGGACTACCAAAAGGAACAGTTTTAGGACCTATTCTCTTTTTAATATATATTAATGACTCACCGAACTGGATCGACAATAAGTGCATACTTTTTGCTGATGTCACTACAACCATCTCTTCCAACAATTGAAAATATATTCTCAACAGCATTTTACTAATATTCAATATTCGTTCATGGCTAACATGTTATCCCTCAACACCACAAAATCTCAGTCGCTTGTCATTAGTACTCGACCACACTGTAGCAAATGAACACAACCAACTAAATTCCTTAGATTCAAAATTGAACCTCACGTCAATACATTGACAAAAAAACATTCAACATTAATATATCTATATCTATCCTGGAGCTTGGAGACTACGTATCTAAACCAGCATCGATAACAGCGTAACATGCATATTGTGAATCCAGTATTCATTATTGTATATTAGTATGGGGTCATTCATCGCATGCTCCAAAAGTGTCAACGGTTGAAAGGCGATGTTTGGGAGTTATAGGTAATATGCATTTCAGAGTTCGATGAAAGTAGGCATTTATTAATTTTGGAATATTGACTATCCCAAGCTTATATACATACTGTCCTGAATGTTTATTGTATGTTACACAAAATTATAATGATTTTGAAGCCCCAAAGGATACGCTTAAATATAATACCAGATTTACCAGTCTTGAAGGAGTCTTGATGACATGAATTTTAAAAACGTACCTAGTAACTGAAGCTTTTTATATCTTTTTTTATAGTAGATACACATAGGTGATAATTCATTTCGTTGTTCACTGTGTTGTGTATTTATTAATTTTTGTCTTTCCATTACTTATTTTTTTATCTGTAATTTTGACTTTATTCATTAATTTGAATTCTGTTTGCTTTATAACTTAACCTTTTATATTTCTATTATGGCTTTTTTTTAAGTACATGTCTATGATTTGTAGTGTTTGTTTTTTCTACGCATTTTGTCCTTTATTTCTATTTTATTTAACTTTGACGCTACTGACTTGCACACAGTCACGGAAATAATTCGAATATTTGCGAACATTATAAGATTTGAGATACTGGTTGTGTTCTGTGGAAATTGTTTCGTCTTGAATTAAGTACTTACCTTGCGGAAAAGCCACCTGCTCCAGCGGATGCCCAAGTCCGAATCGCGACAGGCCCGGCATGGAGATGCTGGCCAAACTGCTGCCCAGCCCCGGATGTGAGGCAAAGTGCGCACGTGGATTGGGAGGCGGGGTCAGATACTGCGCCATGTTCATGTGCTGGAAAATGCCGCCCCCAGCTGCCGCCGCGGCCGCCGTAGTGCCGCTGCCGGAACTGCCCCCGGGGGAACAACCCGCCATCACATAGCCGCCCGCGCTACTGACCGCCGCCCCGCCGCTGCAAGCAGCAGGGACCACCACGGCCTCCTCACCAGTTAGTGGGGTCATCTTAGGATTGCTTATTTTCACTGGAACAAATTAGTACATTACGTACCTTGGTGGAGAGGTATGTCATTGTTAGCTGAGCACTTTTGTCTAAAATGGATTCTTTACCCTATGACTGTAGTGGAAACTTTCCCGACATATTGAAAATTGTAAAGATTCCACCTTCATATAAAAAAGATAACGTGCATTCATTGGAGAATTATAGACCTCTTACTCTGTTCTTCTGTTTTTTTTTTAATTTATTTGAATATGGATTTTTGATCAACTGAAGTTGAAGGTATCTATACTTTTTATAAAGTTGTTTATTTCAATGATGCAGGGGAGGGCCCCATTGTGATCTTCTGCGACCTCAGCAGGACTTTCGGCAGTGTTATAAAAAATAAAAATCAAAATCAGCCTTTAAAATGGTTGACGACCTTCCTCACAAACAGAAGGCAGTATGTAGATATATGCCATTAAAACTCTGGTGGTACTTTAATTTTTTAATTCTGTGATTGAAGAATGTTTGATGGGTGTCGCACAGGGGACTTTTTCTACACCCTGTTTTATTTTTGCTCTATGTAACCTAGTGTTGTACCTGATGCATTGATAACTTAATTCACAGATCAGACCTCAGTTGTAGCTTTTGGTTTTTCTGAGGAACAGTTACAAGACAATATAAATGTCTAACTGTCTAACTTATATTAAAATCTAAACAAGACACAATGTATTAGATTTCACAAAAGGCAGAAATATTGCAAGGAACTAGATTTCGAATTGAATTATATTAATATCAATAATGTGAAATATATAAAATTCCTTGGTGTGTATTTGGATTTGTGTCTGGAATGGAAGTAGCACTAAAATTATGTAATAACAAGGTTCAACTTATTATACTGTATATTATTAAATTTAAGAAATATTCTATCATTACAACGATTAATTGATTGATTTTGTCATAAGATACGGCATATGATTTTGGGGGACCTCTTCTAATTCAAAGGATGTCTTCATGAAACAAAAAAGAATTTTCAAAATAGAAAAATTCCCAGCATACGGCCAAATGCATTCAATCGATAGAAAGATTAGTGAAGACTTCTATACACCATAGAACTCAAATTATGTGTAAGTCTACAAATATTAAATGCCTAACGAACTTAACCTACTGCCGCTGGAAATAAAGAATTGCCGCAATCCAAAGACATTTGACTGTTTTTTTTAGGTCAGCAGAGGTCAGTGCGGAAAGAACTATTTCCGTAATAGTTAGGAACATTTTTTCTACCAACGCGTGACAAGAAATAACTGCTCTCCCGGTTATCAAATTTAATCAGCTTTTAGAATGCAATAGCCCCATTTTATTTATGTTGACAATGACATATTGAAAACACCCGATGACATTTGAAGCTTTACCGCACGTCGTGCAGAAAAGTGACTCTCTCTAAACTGAAATGTCTGCCTAAAAGTGACACTTTCAGCACGCTAGTATAAAACGTTTTCTAAGATACAACATAAGACTACTGTAACGTTTTTTTAATCAGCCTTTTTTCACTTAGTTGACCATTATGTTGCAATATGGGTTTAAGAAACAGCTCAAATATATCATATTAGTATAAATATTATATCGCAAGCACTTGGATAATACACTTTCATACAAACATCAAGGGAAAATAGACGGTCATCAGTGGAAACATTATACCATCGCTCCTGTTACCTTGACACATTGAACTCTAGGGATACAAATCAATCAGATATCCTTACAAAAGGGAAACATTAGTCCCTAAACTGTAACCAAACCACACCGGACAAAAACAGTACAGTAGCAGGTATGGCACGTACCCTTTATCAGCCGCTTAATCTGGTGTGCTTTTGGTTACTTGGTGTTTTTCCGAAACGTACTTAAAAGCACTAGTTAAACTTTTATGCTTGGTTACCTCTTCCAAGTAAAAGATAAGAAAGGGTAATGCTGAAGTGTTTTGTCACAATATAGCGGCGAAACATCAAATGACGGATTACCCAAAGGAATCCTTTGCCGTTTTCTTGGTTTAAATAACACCATGGGCGAGGCTTCGGAAACATGATAATATACCTCGAGAATAAGGTTTTGTTGTATTTTTTTGTCGAGGAAGCTAATTTTGAACCTCTTGGTCCTGGACTGGAAGGAGGTAGAAAATTGAAACAATATTTATTAACGAGATACACTGACTTTTAGCGAGTGATGCTCATTCACATTGCAGCTTATGAGAACGTTAACCTTATTCTTTATCGAAACAAAAGTATCTTTTTAACTTAAAGTTATTTAGTCTATCTTGAAACATAATAAAAATACTAATATAGAATTATTATAATCTTCATTTTATAGTATGTCAAAAAACAAAGTATAAAAAATTTTACATTTGTGTTTTTTTTAAATTTTGCAAGGATTCATTAAGACAATAACCTGTAAAACGAAGTTAAGCAACATTTTTACTTAAACATGTTAGGGTCAAATGCTTTATTTTGGACTCTCAGTGACTAGCGTATGCCCAGTTAATTATGGGACACCTTTGCGACATTGTAATATTACTATTAACCAAAATACATACAAAAACTCTTATTCTAAATTACAAACTTTGAATACTTTACAAGTCTGAAGTAATTATCAGTAAGTCCCACTAATATTATTACGATCTGTTTTCGAAATAATTAACTTAGTTATGTTAAAAAACGTAGACCAAAAAAATGCTAACTGTACATACACATTTTGTATCACTTCTGTCGGCCGAACTATACTTTAGCATATATCACAGATATTTCAATTTCTTATTTTAAAATAAAAGATTAGAATGTACCTTGCACGAAAATATCGTTTTTTTCTTTAAGGAACCCTCTGCTTGCTATTTTATAGAACTCTAAAGTTGCATTTTGGGTGCTAACACTGAGTATAGAATACTGCTTTATAAGCTGTTTTCTTCTTGTTTATACAAAAGATTATTCAAAACTATATGAATATAACATACACTGTAAGTTACTGTGACACTGTTCATCGCAATAATGCAATTTTACAATATTTTAGTGCTGAAAATAGTTCATTGTTAAGTAGTCATTTCTTTTATTTCAGATAATTATTCCCATCACTATATCACCGTCATTGTCATATTCTCTCCATCTATTGTTTTTCATATATTATAGTTATAATCTATTTACTTTCTGTACGTATGTACTTGAAGAATTATTTAAAGTGAAGCTGATGTTACAAAATATACCTAATTAAATGTGATACATACATATGAGAAATGACTGAAAAAGTAGATGTTGCAAATCACTAAATAATGAAAACATAAAGAACATTGCCAGTTTTTTGATGATTTGATGAAATTATCGTTTATCTTTAACTATAATGTTGGACGATGATATGTTGGGTGGACCTGGCGAGGTGGTCCAAATCGACGAATCGACGTTGGGTATTTTTATATACAATGACCGCTGCCGCGTTTTGTAATTTTTATGTCACGCTAGCCGCTGGTGCATTTTCCACTATTTATACACATACTGTTCAAAATTTCATCTGTTTTTCGGTAAATATTGGGAACTTTTCATAGAACAAGTCATTTACGATAAATTAAGACTTATTTTGCAAATTACCTCATTTCTAATTACGTATTTCTCTCAAAAAAGTACAACTTGGCAACAATGGACATCACTTATTTTATCTGTCAAGAAATGAGCGTTATAAAATGGGCATTCAGAATTGTTTGTACTTTCAAATATTTCTCATAAACGCAAAAGCTTTGATTTTATTGAAAATACGCGAAAAAAATGGTTAAGGAGTTTCCAGGAGATATTGAAAAATTACAAAACAACACCTCTACACAGTTTACTAAATAAATGCCATCATTTACGTATGTATTTTGATCTGTCATTTAGGTTAATAGGCTAATGTGTGGCTTTGAACCTTTCTTTGCAAAAAACAACGATTTTAACAGTTTCACATGTATTTTATTTAGTACAATACAGTGTATGTTATATTATTATAATTTAGAGCCTCCTTTTGTACAAAAATCAAAAAATGACAACATATAAAACGGTATTCTATTCTAGAGTATTTACCACCAAAAATGCAACTTCGAAGTTAATAGCCAGCAGAGGGTTCCTTAAAGAAAAAATGATATTTTCGTAGAAGTTACATCGTAATCTTTCATTTTAAAGTAAGAAATGAAGTATTTGCGATATGTAAGTATAGTCTTACCCTTCTGTCACTACTATTAAACATTAAAAATAAGATGAGACTGTTTTAATTGACTAGTAAAATTTCCAATAACAAGACCAAGACTTCAATAATTTTGCAAGACCAATACTAAGGTAGTATTGGACTTGGTGTTGCGTTGCAATACCCCTGTTATGATGCAAGACCAAAACCAGGCAAGTTGCGATACCAATCCTAGCAGTTTCACAAAAAGCCCTGGAGAAAAACGCTTGAAGCATATACCACTGAAACCGAGTTAAGCACACACTGACCTATCTCTGAACTTTTGCATAGGTATCGCGTGTGTGAGTACCCATAACTTCCTATTATGTCCTTGGATCAGGTGTTTAAGAGGTAAATTTTTTATGGAATTTTTAAGAAGAACCTAACTTAAACTCAGTGCGGAAATAGTTTTAAAACGATACTGGCATTTGTCAACATTAGAATGTCTAGTTATGGTGGATGCTCTATTGAACAAGTGACGGAGGTGCCAATACAAAAATACCCTTCGGATTACGATTGAAACGAGGTCAAGCTTCCTCAGTGATTTTAGATATTCAAAAATGCATATGATTCTAGCAACTATGAAATAATTCATTACAATTATATTTTCGTATAGTTTTGTTTTATTGCTTGTGGCTCAAGCGTTCAATGAGGTTCTTAGAAGTTATCAAATCAGCGGAACTAAAAAAATAGAATTTTAATAAACTTATGATTGCAAAATTGGAGTGTTTCACTGCAAAAAAAACCATTTCAGATCGTCTCTTAAAAGCTCCAATTATCACCTCGTATAAACAAAACTTTCTGGACTCCACAATGATCTTGACACTTCTAACAATTTTGTGAGTCACTGCACTTCCAACTATATTTTTGTCAGACAAGCCCTTAACCTTATTCTCATATGTGACACTGTTTTTACAA